AAATGTGGTAATTTTAGATATGGAATATTCTCCTTGTCCTGATTCAGAAGCTTCCAGTTATTACTACAGCAGAGATCAGCAGAAAAAAAGCCCAATCCAAGTGAAACTTATGGCCAAAATGGTTTTTGCATTGTGGTATAGGGGAAAGAACAGTGGTTTGAAGTGAGGAGGCCTGAGCTAGCATCCTGGCTTGGTTACTGTATGCTCTTAGGGAAGTCACTTATCTTTTCTTTGTCTCAGTTTCTTCATCTGAAAATTAAAGGAGTTTATTAAATGATATCTTAAAGTCCTTTCTTGGTTCTCAGTCCTGTGATTCTACATGCAGGTAAAAGAAACAAGAAACAGAATCCACATGTCCTGGGCTTAATCTCCGATCCTCCGCTTATGAAATCTCAAAAGCACAAAAATTATTTCCCTGTTCTCAGATCTCCCATAAGACAGAGCCCAAAGATGTACATCTACACCTTCATTGTGATTGTTAATTATTTCAAGTGAACTAATCTTGCAACCCCAAGAAGGCTATGAGCTCCTGGAGGGCAGGAATCATGTCTTCTATTTTTTTTTCAATCAGTGAATAAGCATTTATGAAGTGCTTGCTATGTGCGAGACACTATGCTTGCTGCTGTTTCTGTTCCGTCGTGTCCATCCCTTTGTGACTCCGTTTAGGGTTTCCTTGGCAAAGATACCGGAGCGATTTACTGTTTTCTTCTCCAGCAGACACTAGAGTAAGCTTTAAGAACAAGCACAAACAGTCCCTGTCCTCAAGGAGTTTATGTTCTAGAGGGAAGAGATGATATGCGTTTAAAGGGGAGTCTACACGTGTTGGATCGGTGCTTATATCCATGTAGTTTATGTGTACGCACACAAATCTGTTTAGATGTGACTACCAGGGCAGCATGAACAGCTGTTTCTAGAGTCTGCTCTTTCTCCAAGGGAGGCTTTTATTCCTGCCAGGAGGGAAGTAGGAAATTGGGGTCATGAGGCTGGCCATTTTGCTCTCCTCGGAGAGAGGATACTAGGCCAGAATTATATCTATCTTTCCTCTAGTCTAGGGGAAATAATTTTTAGGTTCAACCTACGCTCCTGATCACTATCTTTTTAATGGGGAAGGGATGCTCCAAGCTATGCATTATTTCCAAGCTACATACTGACACCCTGACTGTCAAGTACAGGTCACACAAGCATACATAGTGAAAGCAAAACAAACAAAAGCATTTATCTAATCTAATAATAAGAGAAATCAGAGAAGTTATATGGATTAAAATAGACCAGATTATTCACAGAGTGATTGAGTTCTTCCACTGGGAGGGAGATATTTTAGCTCAACCAAGAGAGAAGCCCCAATCTCACCTACTGGAAAATTCTCCTGAATCTAAGCTAGGGATAGAGGCATGATCAAGGGGCCAGCTCCTCTACATGTTAGCTTTCTTTCTACAGACTTTTTTTCCTTTCAGGGACCTCTCCCTGAAGAGAACCTGAAATGACATATATCCTTTCTCAAAGCTGGAAGCCGAAAGAATAAAGATCTCTCTTCTCCCAAGCTTTTTTTTTTTTAGCCAACTCTATCCCACAAGCAGACAAGAAGAAATCATTCCTCACCAATGAGCTTGAGCCCCAGGTTACACATGATACATACAAGTAGATACAAGGTATTCTTAGAGGAGAAGGCACTAGGAGTTAGGGAGCCAGGAAAAGCCTCCTGCAGAAGGTGGTACTTGAGCCAGAAATCCTGTAGCCAGTTGCCTACAAGACCCATAGTAGGAACTCAGTCAGTATTTATACACTGATAAAAAAAAATAAAGTATTGGATTCGAGACAAAAGACAGGGATTTCAATCCCAGCATTGCTACTTACTACCTGTAGGACATTGGATGAATCACCCTCTATAGACTTCAGTTTCCTCTTATGTAAAATTAGTGATTAGACTAGATGACCTCCATGTCCTTTCCAACTCTAAATCTAAAGCTTCAATGATTGATATTGTTCTGTTCCCCTATAGAAAGTTTTTCCACTTTTTCTGAGTCAAAAAATTACTGACTTCCCTCAGTAGCCCCCAAGAGAGATGACTTTTTGCCTAGATTAGCCCATCATCATCTGGGAGCCCCCAAAGTAGGATGTGTGCCTTCTGTAAGGTAAGGTGGCAGTCAGGAAGACCTGAGTTCAAATCCTGCCTCAGGACTTCTTGTCCTGGGCAAGTCATTCAGCATTTTTAAATCTCAGAGTCCTCTTCTGTAAAATGAGGGTAATAATGCTACCTACTTTCCAGGGTTATCATGAGGATCAAATGAGAAAAATATGTGTAATGTACTTTACAAACCTTAAAGCACTATGCAAATGCTAGCTATTATTATTGTTTGTGCTTTTTATAAAGTGCTCCTATCAAATTCATTACTCTGGAAGTGAGGGTGTTTTCTCTCATTTGACGGCATCTTGTCCAAGCATGTGCAGTCATTTCTTTGCAGAAGGATTTCCAAGCCAATCTAGATGCACTTCTGTGAGTGGCATACTGCACCTAGATCAATGGGCCAGATCATACTCCTTTCCGGATTCTTCTCCTCCTGAGTCTAGGGTTTTGCCTACCCTGTCCTATTAAACGAAGTGGTGTTTTTAGGACTAGCACATGTCCTTCCACAGCCAGGCTTTGCCTTTCGGGGATGGGGGAGGTTGGTTGAGAGACAGTACTGTTCTTAGATTCAACAAGCTGCTCTAAATGATCCCATGGTCCTACACTGACTTGCTTACAAATGACCAAATCAATTGGCTTTTAATGGAGCACAGACTACCTAGATCCCCAAATAAGAAACACTTTCTATGCTATTAGATGTTGGCCATTTGTGGGAACTTTCCTAAATAGGGAACAAACATGTACTGTTCCTTTGAGCAATGGCGATATGCCTGACCCCGTGCTTTCTGGCATTGTGCCACAGATGAAGGTAGGATGATCTTGGCCCTGTTCTTTTGGCTTTGCCTGTGAATTTTTGTTTTCAATTTCTTCTGTCACTTGTGTCCCATACCTCCAACGATTTCCAGTTCTGTATTAAGTCCCTGATGGGGCTAGGGATGCTCTCTTTCCATTCCTTCCTACTCTTTTAAGGGATATATTGTGTGTCTTAAACCTACTGAGCGTGACTCATGTCTTCTTCTGGCTCAAAGATATCAATAGTTTGAATCGCTCTCAGAGACAGAAAGGAACTAATTTTCCAGAATTCCAGTTGTCAAACCCTTATTATGCATAAAATGGAGATAATAATACCCATAATGCTTATGTCGCAAGGTTGTTGTCAGGATCCAATGAGGTAATAATATATTTATGAAGAACTTTGCGAACCTTAAAGCACTTTTAAATTGTTTATTATTATTATTGTTATTATTACTATTTCTACATCATGATTGTCATATACTTATACTCTGATAATGGCCTTTATCTTATCCACTTCTAACCCCTTTTCTATGCCCACTCTCATCTTCTGAAATTTATTCATCCATTCAATGAGCATTTATTAAGCACTTACTGTATGCCAGACATTTTACTAGTCACTAGGGATGTAAAGACAAAGAAATAAAATTTTAAAAAAAGAACATGGTATGGCATAGTATGAAGGGGCATGGGCATCTAGGTGGCACAGTGGATTGAGTGCTGGGCCTGGAGTCAGGAAGTCTCATCTTCCTGAGTTCAAATCTGGCCTCAGATACCTGCTAGCCATGTCATCCTGGGCAAGTCACTTGACCCTATTTGTTTCAGTTTCCTCAACTGTAAAATGGACTGGAGAAGGAAACCACTTCAGTATCTTTGCCAAGAAAACCCAAACTGGCATCACGAAGAGTTGGACGTGACTGAAAACATCTGAACAAACATAACAGCACAATATAAAGGGCCCTGGCTCTAGAATCCAAGTATCCACATTCAAAGGTTCCACACTTTTGCACTTTTGCCTCTGATACTAACTGGGCCAGTAGTCATGTTCCTTTTTGTTTGTTTGTTTTTGGTAAAATGAGGGGGTATTGGCCAAGATGGTCTCTGAAGTGTCTTCCAGCGATTCTTCAAGGAGCTTACATTCTATTATGGAGAAACAACATATTAATCCAGTATACAGACATAGTAAGCAATGATCTTTGGGTGTCTCCCCTCTCTTGCAGGGTCCTCCTGTTTTCTTAAGGCACAGAGGCAGTCAGTTTGCCATTACTCAGGTTCTAGATGATGAGACCTGTTGTCTCTTCTCCTTCTAGTTGCCTTTTTTGCAATTTCACTGCTCGTTAGCACCTCTACCATGGCACTGCAGGGGGGTAGGGAAGGAGAGAAAAGTGGAATCAGACCATTTCCCCCTCTTTTCAGCAGCTCTGCTGAAAGGTTTTCTTCGATTGAAACAATCAGAAGGAGGTTTGTAGATTATTTGTGGATTTCAGGCTATCTCAATCAGGAGCTGTTGGCCGTCTTTTTTCTTAGAAAATCAAGCGTACCAGGAAGGAATACCTTCTGGCAAGTGGGGCTGGGCTATCTATCGACGGATTAGCTAAAAGCAAAGAAAGAAGACAGGGCACAAGACAACAATTTAAATGAACTCTTATTATTATTATTTTTTAAAATCTCTTTTCTGTGATGCTTGCTTCAGAAATCTAGAGGAAAAGCTACATCTCCAATTTGGGGTTCCAATGGACCTTTTCTGTCCTCCCTGAGGCATCCCTGGGGCTACTTCCTCAGAGCCCCTTTCCACAGTTCGGCTCAATGTGCCGAAGACCCTTTGAGTCACCTCTGCCGAAGAAGCTCTAGTGGGCGCTGAAATGATTCCAGATTGGAGCTAGGAAGAAAGTGGAAATTATTTCTTACATTTAAGGGTTCAGTTTACCACTGAAATTGCTTTTCATTTAATTCAAGCAGCAACTGATAGCACAGAACACTTAAACAAAATTAAACAGAAATCTTTCACGTTATGAGAGGCTCTTATGTGTGCTTTGTGTTACATTTTTTCCCTTTCTTTCCTTTCTTTTTTTGTTAAATACAGTTTCCCCAAGGAAGAATGGCAGAACACATTCTCTGTAGCTCCTTCAGTCCCCCTTACTGGGATAGTCTGGAGGGCTTTGGGACTCCCAGGTATGTTAACCCCCCATCATTTATTGCTCTTCCATTCTTGACACTTGAACTTGCTACTGTCTGTTTTATTCAGGTCAAGATGTTGAAAAACATGAATGGGCCGGTGGTTCGAAACAAACTGCTCTAGCTAATGAGTTTTATTTGTGTGTCTCGATGTGGAATCTCAGCTAACCCCTTTTAGGGCCAAGTCAGCCTTGATTTATCCCCATAGTACAGTTGGTTAAAATCAGCTGAGCAAATTCACAGTCATCCTGAAAGATTTTGTTTTGCAGGGTTCAGGCAAAAAATTGGTTGTTCGTTATTGGTGGGGTGCCAATAACTGACGCTGGTTTTGTGGCTGCAGGGCCTCATGCCCACTTTTCTGGGCTCTCATGGCACAGATGTGAGCGAGGCACAAAGGAAGAAGGTGATTGTTGGGATAGCCGCAAGGAGGAAAGAGGAAAAAGAGAGCCGATCAGGAA